TCATAGCAGAGGGTAGAAGAGAAAAAAAATGCACTCCCCCTCTCACCCCGCGTGTCGTCCGTTCCGCCGAGCGGCCTGTAGCTAGCGTCCGGCTGGCGTGCAAACTCTGTTTAAAATAGCATAATTTTGGAGCTTTCAAGCGCAGATGCGCAGATTTTGGTATGCCAGTTGTCGTGTAATATTATGCTAGATAAAAAGACTCACAGGGTCCAATTGCGCTGTTACCTGCGTGCAAATAAAAAAAAATAGGGAAAACTGTGTCAGATTGGCCGGTCTCTTTGGCGAAAAGTAAATCCGGTTGCTGTACCTTTTTTACTATACACAAGTTCGTACTGGTGTAGGCCTTTAGCGACCACGAGTTAATGTCTGAAATAATAAATAGAACGTGCTCTCCTGCCCCATACACGGAGTAGTTGAGGGTAGTGCTGCCGGCTGACTCAACTGCTATTTAAGTAACGAATAAAAGATATGCATTTAGCAAAATAGAACAACAGAAAGCTATAGGCTGATTTTGGAGTAGCCACAACTATTCTAAGAACGCGAACCACTTCACAACGGCAGCCACGAGCGAGAGTTCAATGTTCGCTCCGTGCGACGCGACTGGCGCGCCGCCGCGCGGCCGGTACTGAAGGTAGGCAGTGAGAACCCCAGAGGAAACGAAACCGAAATTACGCCGCGTACGTTGGTACGCATTGAAGTCGGAGTGGTGCGATTGCGCTGGGTTCACAGCATGAAGTGCTGTCTGCGCTGCGTCATTAAGTGCTTCAATAGTTATGCGTCGTATCTCGTGGAGACAACGTTTCACAGTTTTTCACCTCGCCGATGTTTTGTGGGACAGCGACAACGATGGAGCCGTGCCGTACGACGCGAGAAATTTGGTCTTCCGATTATGTCTGCCACTGTGTCGGCACGGCTGACATATTCTACACTGCCGCCTTGCGCTCTGCGTTTGTTTTCGTACCAGTAACGCCTACATGTGTCAGCGCCGATGGGACAAACTGAAATGCCATCCCACACTCGCGGGTATGCAGTGCCAATGTCGTTGGAGGAATGCCCTCCAAAGAAGTTTCGTCCTCATCGTCCGTGTCGATGATATTGCCGTTCAAGTATGGCACGCAATCTGTACTTCATGAAGAAAGATTCGGACGGTAAAAAAGTGAGAAATATAAATCTAAAGAAAACAACAATGAAACTCGGAATCGCTGGAGAATCGACGTTTGAGTATGGAAGTTTATGTGGTGTGCTTTCTTTCTTGATCAGCCTCCTTTTGGATGTGAAAACGCTGACACCCCGAGTTCTGTAGACAACATTTTTTTTTTTTTTTTTTTTTCTAGGCTTTAGAGCCACCTGTCGAAAAGTGGTTCGAACTAGAAGTACCGTCCACTGGTCCCTCCCTACCTGTAAAGTCTGCACCTCCCACGATGAGTGGTATTATCGGACAGCCTTTGACGATCAAAGCCAGTTCCCCATTCAGTTACGCCGCCCAAACTAAATTTCCATCTGGTTTCGCTATGCCAACTCTTTTTGTTATAATAAGTGTTGTGTCAAGTGACGGTCATGTCAAAGTACCTGTGCGCTGAAAATCAGCACCTCGCACAACAGGTTATTACACAACAGCTGACCGCAAAAGCCCTTGACGGCCAAACCGTGTGTTGGCCGACAACTTTGTTTTCTCGGCTTTGGAACCACCTTTCGTAAAGTTGTTTCAATTGGAAGTAAAATCCACTAGTCCCTTCCTACCTCTAAAGTCTCCACCTCCCCCGACCAGTGGTATTCTCGACACCCTTTTCATGGTCAAAACCGGTTCCCATTGAGTTACGCCGCCCAAACCAAGTTTCCACCTGGTTTCCCTATGCCACTTCTTTTTGGTATAATAAGTGTTTGTCATGTTACTGCCAAGTCCAAGCACCCGTGTGCCCAAATCTGCACTTTGCACCGCCCGCTATAACACAACATTTTGGGTCCAATATTGGATATCCCGGAGAGCTTTATTTCTTTATTCGTTAGAAACCTAACTTTCACACACTTGGCACTCCTCGTGCACAAACTTAATGAACATCTCACTCGCCTCCAAATATCATCGTTCCAGCAGTCCTAGGTTTACAGCGACGAGCGAAATAAATTTCCCACTCAGAGCAATTATGGTGGCAGCCGTCTTGTTTTTCGGAAAATTGCTCCAACTCCTTTTTTGGCCGCAACCGGAGGGATTACCCCTAATGACGACTCAAACTCAATATATAAGAAGTGGAGAACAGCTAAATGCCCTTCTGCCCCAGCACTCATGCAACGTCACCCTGAACTTATCGGCTCAAAAAGCAAAAGTTTCGTCCGTGCGCGCTTCCGCCGCCACAGCTTGGCATGCGAAAAGGCGCCGCAGGCTGCTGAACGTGCCTCACTGTTAAACGCCAGCTCCTCCGATAGCGGCGCTACGCGCGTTTTTCAAAGCGCCCCCTATAGTTCCCGCACGGAGTGTATACAGCCCAAAGATGGAGAACGGCAACCTCCCGGTTTGACAACTGCTAGCGGAGTCGGGCGCGTGCCCTCTCTCTCGTTTTACCCCGCCGAACCCGCTGAACTTCCCGGATGTGTGGAGAGGGCGCTGCGGTCGAACAAAATGGTGCCGCCCAGAGAGCGCTAAACGGAATGGTCTATAAGGGGCGCTCTGACCCGTTTGTTTTCCCCAAACTCGGTGTTTACTCAACAAAAGGCCTGTGCACATGCCGACAGGCCTTACGGGCATGTCCATGTCATCTTCTACAGTAGAGCGCGGGGCACAGTTTAATGCAAAAAATACTAACAATCGACGAAGCGAGGTTAAGTGCCGGATCTATCCTCAGAGAATACGAGCTTGACCCACTTCGGCTTTTGTGCTGAGCTGGGATCGTGCATGCTGCATTGTTCATGCAAGCCCTGGTGGAAACAAAAGAGCCCCTCCTCCCCTCACGGGAGAACACGAACTCCAGCCGAAAGCTGACGCCGAGTTCGGTTATGTTGGCCGAGTGCCGAGTCATTGTATTTAATGTCCCTATCCGTGTAGTTGTAAAGTTAACCGCTTGGGGCGTCACGGTCTGTCCTCCTCCCCAATAACATTCCCCAACGTACATTTGAACAGGCAGTTCTGAAATCTTATGATAATTTAGTTACTTTGCCAATCTCCTACCTTTTTTTTTTTTTCGGTACACAGTACAAGTTACTTTGTAATGTAGGTAATGCTTACCTACGAAAAATATATCTTTCATAGAAATCTAATGTGAGCAATTACTAAACAGACGTTTCTCATATAATAAATATTGACACAAGTGTTATGCTACTTACTGTGCATTGTTTATTTTAAACACAGAGAACCTATAAAATGCCCGTCCCTTTCACCTTTTGCATATTTTCACATATGCCTACCAGCTTATTCATGCTCTTGAAAGGATTACCTCGAAAAGAGGCCTCTGCCTCGGTTAACAGCACAGCCATTAGATGTAGTTCATTTTGCCGCAGCTCAGGTTGCATGTAGCTAGATAGGTGGTGCAAGTAGCCGCATAATTCGGCCAGCCACGCCATTTTTATCAGAACGGCGCAGGAAATTGCCTTTGGCACAAAATTGCGCAAGAGTGGAATCACTGTGAATGTCTTAGACGGGAGGGTTTTGACAGAACCACTAGAAATCCAAATTTTTTTTAACGAAATTTGTATGTTTTCCACTGGTGGCAGTTTATCTGTGTTTTCCAGTTATATCCAGAAAGTCATATCCTAATTATTTTCTATTATGAGCAACTATCAAAACACACTTTCAAAACTAAAGAAATTTAAGTTGGCAAGACCAGTTTGGTTATATGATTCCAGGGGTGGATTTAGAGGGGGGGTCCGGATGTCCTGACCCCCCTCTTGAGTTCTGCATGTGTAAAATTTAGGGCGTGAAACGAGAGAGAGGGAGGGGGTTTCTAAACAAAAGGTACGCTGACCAACACCTGACCCCTCCTCAGGAAATTCCTGCATCCGCCCCTGTATGATTCACATTTGGGGATGAAGGAACAGACGGTTTGTCTGTCTGTTTCCTTCTTAAACGTGTGACGAGAAAAGTTGTTCAGCTATTTTTGGGCAACTAAAAAATTCAACGATGAGAGGATATGGCAGAAAAACCCAAGTAGTTGTAACGGAAGGAAAATTCGGGAGTATTTATTGATTCCCTTGTCAGTATGTATCGGCCAACACAACCGAGCATGTTGGCGAAAAGCGTAAGGCTCCGCCAGAATGTAGCCCTCGCGGTTGGGACCAGGTTTCCAAGTTTCGGAACTTTGCGTTTTCTGATCCAAAAGTGCCAAGCGATTTTCGGTAATCTTAAGCGAGGAAACGAGACCCATTCCCGGCAGCAGACAGTATTTGTGTCCAGGTCTTCGCAATCTCTCTTGCCTGCGATTTTCTCGTCGAAAAGTTCCAAAAATTGCTTATCACTTTTGAATCGGATAACACAAAGCTGCGAAACTTGGAGTCTAATCCCAACATATGGCCGGACACAGAGTTCAACAAGGTGTATCTTATTTGCGAAAAACCCCGTTCTCTTTTCCCGCGTACATAAAAAGAAAGAAAACGGGGAAAGAGTAACGCCGGCGTTGAGTAGCAGACGACACGAAAGAGACCTGCAAAGCCGCCCCTAATCCGCTGCCACTGAGGTGCGAGTGGCAGGAAGGAGCTCGAGCAGGTCCTCCTTCAGCGCGAGCCCTTGGACAACGCACCGGCGTCTCTCAGCCCTCCCAGTCAATGCATAGCAGCAAGGAATGGAGCGCGTGCTAAAGCAACGCTACAGGCGTCCGAAAGACACGCCCCGCTGCTCTCGTCAGTGAAGAGACTCATAGAGCCAAGTTAAGAAAAACCCAAAACAAGTCGATCAGCTCTCGCTCGCTGCCAAGAATCCCCCTTTCACTCCCACACGCACTTCATTTGTTTTTCTAACAAATCCACCGGTGCTGCGCGCCTACTTTTCGAGGGACTTCCATCGGGTCGGCACTTACATTTTGGAAATACAGCTGCGGCTCGATGCTGCAATCCAGTAGCGACGCCGTTAGAAAGCACACGCTCATCTGGGGGAGAGGAAAAAAACATGCCGCCAAATATTTACGCGCACGTTCGAGACGCTCGTACAAATCAATGCTCCTAGTCATACGGGAATTACGCTGGAATTAACAACCGTAAAGATTCCTAACCTTGACACTGAAGCAGCGCCCAAAACCAAGCTTGCCGAAGAAAAGAAAAAGTACGCTCCAGAGCGCTAGGCCTAGCTCGCTGGGAGCACGCTATGTAGCGTCAACGGACGCTGCCGCGAACGCTCTTCTTCTTCGGAACGGTGGCTATTGTGGACGCAAAATGGGTGTGCACTAGGTGTGACCTACCTTGATCGCTTTCTGGCCGGTCCTTTGGCCTATTTATCAATCAACTTTACATGCTCGGTCGCGCTAGTTGGGGACCAGTCTGTCACAATGAAACCGATGAAACTGACGGCAGCGCCATCCAGTGCCTGCTGGAGACAAGACAGCCCCTAGTTGCAAAATGCTGTTGCTAGAGGACGCGGTGTAAAATTTGGTGGATTGGTGGCGGTCCCTGGTGAGTACGTTTATAACATGGGCGGGATAAAGTGGATGGAGGGAAAGGGAACGCACAGAGCCGTATATGTAGAGAGTTTGGTCAATGGGAGGCGCGGGCAGAGCCAGGGCGTGCGGCAGACTCGGAAAGAGGGCTTGGCATGCTCTCTTGACCAACCAGAAGCCGAAAACAATCCCCTAGCGGTGGTAGCGAGAAACAATTCTGAGCCGATCGATCATCGAAGGTCTATGTTCGTATATGGTTTTAATAAGTGCGTAAGAGTGAAGTGTAGTAACTCTTTGCGGTTAAAAATAGGGTGCACGTGTTGTTTTCATCATGATCATGCAGAAAGATGTAAGAAACGAATGCGCCGCTCAACTCTGTTTTGCGCGGACAGAGTGTGACCGCTCTGACGGCAGATTTCCGGCGCTCGGCGTTTGGCCTAAGGATTATGTCGATCTTTCCGCTAGTCGCACTCTTCCACCATCATTTTAGATGAGTGTGATTGAAACATCACGTGTACCATATTTTCAGCCATCAAGAGTTACTCCAATGCAGTTATCAGGTTTGTTTCTCGCGACCACCGCCAGGGTATTATTTCCGGCTTCTGGTTGGTCACATTCGAATTTTTGAAGACGCCCTGGAACACGCCCAGCCCGCTTTCGGCCAATGGCGCCGCTTCATTTGTCTCCTATACTTCCCAACGAATGGCCAAACTCTCTACATATACGGCTCTGGGAACGCATCGCAGCGACTGGATCGCGCATCCCCGTTTGGTCGCTGCAGCGCGAGTGCGGCCATCGGACGGCCATCTTGCATGTCGCAAAATCGCGTTTCCTTAGCGTTTTTGGCTGGCGGCAGCGTGCCGAAGACACGTTTTTTTTTCTCGTTCATCGTCATTCGCCGAACAAGTTCTTTAAAAACCTGTGTAAGTCGTGAGGCTTGCCGTTGAGAACACGCATCTAGTGTCGCGAAACGTAGTTTCGCGAAATGGTTGCGCCGTCTGAACGAGTCCGAAAAGGACGTGCGCATCTAAAAAAAGTTGCGCGCACACCTCGCTTCTGGAGCGAGCTTTCGCTGAAACTTTGCCGAGTCCTGTCAATCCACTGATCTCTATGTCTATTTGCTGGATCGCGTTGGTCACTGGCGGCCATCTTTAGGTAGAGTTATATCATCTCTAGCCGTCATAGTAATATGGCGGACAGCGCAATGGCGGCAGGCTGCCACAAAAATAGCCGTAGATCTAGTACACTGTACCGTGGGTGACATTTCGTGCTTGATTGAAGTTGTTCGACGAAGCAGATTCTTGAAACCCGGCGTGAACAGTAGCCTCATCTTTGAGGACCATAGAGATCATACATACTAACTCTAGAGGAAAAGGTCCGCCATTTTCCCATACACTCTGGCTGCCGCAAGCGGCGGATCATGCAGGCAGACCTTCTGGGTCCCAAACACGGTTACATCATCAGAGCAGTTTCGTGAACTTCAACAATTCACGAACTTACCGGTGGAAAGATATTCCCGTTCCTTTCGAAGCTTTCTTTTTGAAAAGCGCGCAGATGTACGGCCTCGCGTTAACGCTAAACTAAACCATATACCCGGCTTCGTCAGTGGGGCGCGGCTGGGCGCGGTTGAGGAATACGAAACTGCGCAACCACCAGATTTCCGAGATTTCGACAGAAGGGAAGTTAATGCAGCGTAATGAGTTTATTGCTTTTTATAAGCGTTGGAATGGCTCATAATTTAGTTTACAACGTTAAATTATCACTGTTTATATTGCTAAGAGTTTTCACTCTTCGCGTTACCATGGCAACGTTGCTTTCTTTTGTCTCGTGTTCTGTCGCTCTCTTTTGCGTTCGTTCACTCGGGACCCAGGATGTCGGCGCACGGGATTTGCCACTCCTCCTCACCCACCTTTACCCCCCTGTTGAGGACTCGGAAAAAGTTCTACGAAAGCGCAGCACCGGCGGAAAGCAGCGCAGCTCGCATCAAAAGCAGACTCCCTACCGTCGTCTGCTTTCGATGCTTCTTTCGATGCGACTTTCGATACGTGCTGTGGTGCTTTTCTCCCGGTGCTTCGATTTCGTGAAACTTTTACCAGGTCCTCAGAAACCGGACTACTGTTCACGCCGGGTTTCAAAAACATGTTTCGTCAAATAATTTTAATCAAGCACGCAATATCACCCACGCTATTTTGACCGCAGCCTGCCAACCCACCTGCCAAAACGCTATCTGCCATGGATGGATGATAGCGGCTGCAGCAGCTTACATTGGCTAGAGGTGATATAACTCTACCTAAAGATGGCCGCCAGTGACCGCAATCGCGGAGCGGGCAAACGCGATCCAGCAATTGTCATAGAGATCAGTGTGTCAATCACTCTGGGGGCGCCACCAATGGCCGCTCAGAAACGCTCTCACGTGGCCTTTGAGGGGGGAGCGAGCTGTTTGAGAAGTCCACTTCACTGCCGGTGTTGTAGCCGAGCCAAATCCAATAAAAAAAAAAAACGAAACCACGAATGATGGATACTGCCGGCGCTTCCGCAAGCACGTCAAGCACCACTGAAGGAAAAGTGAGTAGCATATCGGAAAAAAATCCAGCGATGGACGAAGACGTAATTGGTGATGATGATAATTCGCGTCTCTTTTTAGTCATAATTAAGGAATAAAACCTTGAGACAAGGAAACAAAAAGGGACGTACACAGTACCGTCTCAAAACCAGCAGAGCGTACAGCTCTCATTTACTTCCACAACAGTCTTCTTCTTTGTCAACCTCCATCCAAATTATACATATTCAACAGTAAATAAAGTAAATGGCAGTAATTAAATGACAATTCAACAGCTAGTAAATGACAATTTAAGAGTAGATTAAGTAAATGGAAGTAAATGACAGCTGTATGCTGTGCTGGTTTTAAGACGGTGGTGTGTATGTCCTTTTTTGTTTCCTTGTCTTAAGGTTTTATTTTTTAATTATGATTGTTCACCAGCTCGCCTGCATTTTGACTCTTAGAATGTGGCGGGAGATGGAGAACACGACGCTGAATGGCTAATGGTGATGATGATGATGTTGGCTTTTTGATGATGTTGGCTTGGGAAAAGTATGATGAAGCAATTTCTGTTTTTCAGAGAGACATTGATATGATAATTAGATGGTTTGCTGCGAATTTTATTTCTGTGAATGTTGCAAAAACAAAACTGATGTGTTTTCGAAATCCGCACAAACAGATAGTAACATCTCCAAATATTTGCTTGCACTCGGTGCAGTGTCTGGATTGCAGCTGTAAACCTTTAGCATACGACAGTTCAGTTAAATATTTAGGCGTCTCTGTTGACAAACACATGCTGTGGAATGCGCAGGTGGAATGTGTTGTAAAAAAACTACGAGTCATATCAGCGTATTTGTATAAACTCAAAAGTAGGTGCAGCTTGAAGATAAGATTACTTGTGTTTAAATCTTTGGCGGAAGCTGCATTACGGCACGGTATTACACTGTACGGTCATTGTTCAGAATACAAAACACGAGCGATAGATAGGATACTAAAGCACATGATAAACAACATATCATATGGAACTTCATATCAAGTATTGGAAACTCAAGAGAAAGCTAAAGAGCTGGACATCCTGTTTTTTAAAAGCTTTTTTACATACGTAGCTATAACAAATAATTATTTCAGTAATTCCTACAAAACTGTCGTAAATAAAATTAGAAATTTGAGACGTACTGAAAGATACGTCATTCCGAAAATATACACACTCTATGGAAAGAAAAACAGAAATCATTACATTCCTTCTTTATTTAACGAACTCCCAGAGTCCCTTATGAATATAGATTCCACTAGGGCACTAAAAAGAAAAGTAAGGAATTGGTGTCAAGCATCTGAGCTGTATATATCGTAGCCTGACCGTTGCAGATATTTCGTACTTTTATTTCATGGTTGCATGAGCAGACTTGGCTATAAGCACCTATATTTCATGCTTCTAACGTGTTCCATTTTTGTATTTATTTGTGTTGCTATTTGGGTGTTCCTTTCATTTTTGTTTTGTGCTGCGGAGTGCTTTCTTTGTTTTTGTTACAACATGTATTCTAGTTGGTCGCCTGGCCCCACATACAAGCAGAATGCTGATTTTGTGGGCCAGCTCTTTATTTTGTATTACTTGATCTGAAAATAAAAATTGAATTGAATTGAAAAATTCAACTGTAGCGCCACTTTATGGTCAACACCCAAACTATTTTCGCGAGTCTAAACGTCATCGTTGTTGCACGTGAAGCGGTACGTGTGAACGAGCACATTTCACGAAACTTGAGTGTCGCGAAACTGTTGCGCGCCTAAAAGATGCATCGTGTGAACGGACCTTTAGCCCACTCGGCCACCGATCCCCCCCGATCCCCCCCAATCCAGAACTCCGTGGCCGATATGTGATGCAAGGACATCTACGTGCGACACACCTTCAAAACTTTGCCGCTGCGCCGATTCTTGATCGGTATCCAAGCGCGCAAATAAAGCCCCGTGCGAAGGCACAGGGACGTACGCAGCGCTTCGGCGTGCCGAGGAAGCTTTAATCACGCCGCGAAAACGGAGAAACTTGCTTTCGACGAGGTGCGCCTCTTTCCTGCGGCACTGCGATTCCCTCAAAATTCTCACGTGTTCTCGACGGCAAGTCTCACGGCTTACCCCGCGGTTTAAAGACCTTCTGCGGCGAATGACGACGAACGAGTAGAAAACGCGTCTTTACGCTGCCGCCGGCCTCTGCAACGCTCCAAACACGCGATGTTTCCACGATGCAAGATGGCCGTTGCGTAACACCGAGCCTTTTGGCCTTTTAGATCAAAGAAGCGGGTTCACTAGGAACTCGATGCCAAAGGAATTTTTAGACAGGTGCAGAAGTATGCCTGGATGCGATCACTGCAGATAACACCATTTATCTCCGGTCATAAACGTTTTGGACAACACTTCCGTCGTTGC